ATCTTTGTGAATTAAAGTGATAGTTAAGTCTTCGTGACAACTACAGCTGTTATGAATATTTTTGAATATACCAGTCTTAGTGAATTACAGCTTAAATATGTTCAAGTGATATCAGTTATAAGTCTAGAACTTAGGAATAAATCAGTAGATTACTACGTATATTAAAAAGAAATAACACTCAAACACCTTATTTAACTGTAGCAATCCACCAAAATCGCACGTTAACATTATCCTAAAAGATTTAAGGTATATAAGCCTTATTTCAAAAAAGAATCTAAATAATAATCAAGCTTCTTATCAATTTGTTGCTACAAATATGCAATCATTTTCTATTGTTAAGAATCCTTGATCAAATTTTTTTTTATAAAAAGTTTTTAATTTAAAATTTTATTAAAAATTAAATTCACATTATGAAGTACTATATAAACAAATCTTAAAATTAATTTTATATTAGAATTTAATGAAAGAAAAAAGCAGTTAATAAATGAAATTTTGAAAATCAAATATAAAATATCTTTTACAACTGATATTTAGACATCAGAAAATTTCAAATGAATTTTATCTTGGTTAAAAATGAGGATAAAACTCAAAAATGGCAATTAATAAACAGCTGAAATTATATTAAAATATAGTAAGGGGTATGACGAAATCCTGAAACCTGAAATTAACTGAAACTATATTAAAAACATAGTAAGAGATATGATGAAATTATTTTGAGGGAGTTTCAGCTAGCATCTTTAATCTTGGTATCACTATTTATTTTATTAATGATTAAAGATGCTAGCTGAAACTCCCTCAAAATAATTTCGTCATATCCCTTACTATGATTTTAATATAGTTTCAGCTAATTTCGGGTTTCGAGGTTTCGTCGTATCCCTCACTATGTTTTAATATAGTTTCAGCTGTTTATTAATTGCCTTTTTTGAGTTTCGTCTCTCATATTTATTAATGATGATTGAAAATTAAAATTTTTTTACTAGATTTAATATTATTACATGAATTCCATTAATTTTAAGCAACATTTTAATTATCCTTAAAAATTTAAAATTAATCATAAAATTATTGCTTTAATTACTAATAACAGTTCAAATATAATGGTATGTGATAATCAATTAGCAGAAGAATTAGAAACAGCATTTAATAACTTTATTTTTACATTATAGATGCGTTGCATATATAATTAATATTACAGTAAATGTAGAAATGAAATTGAGATAAAATAAAAAAATTACATTAATTTGTTATAATAATAAACATTTTATCATTATTGCTTAGTGAATTATCTGATATAGATAAAATTAAAAAAAACAAAAAATTTGAAACCAATATTAGATGTTGATATAAAGGTGAAATTCTATATATCATGATAAATTATAATACAAAGTATTTCAGAAATACTTGTACAAACAAATTATGATGATTTAAATTCTTTATTTTCTTCTATATCTAAATAGTGACTTATAAAAAATCTTTATTTTTATTTATTATATTTAATTAATTAATTAATAAATTATTGTATAATTAATTATTATTGTAATTAATTTATAAGAATTATACAGTTTTTTACAATCAATATATAAAGTAACTAACACTTTTTACCATCATTAAATCCAACCTAAGAAGATATTAGATTAGTATTTATCTATTAGATTGTCTAGCAGGCAAATTTACCTGCAAAATTAAAAAAAAATGTTACTATATAAAAAATATAGGTTAATATATATTTTATCAACTTTATTAATAAAGATTTTAAGTTTTTTAAAAGGTTTTTAAAATAATTTAATTTTAAAATTAAGTTTCAAAAATTTTATTATAATAATTTTTTTAAAAATTTATATATTTACGTACTAATTGAATCACTTTATCATTAATTAAAGTCATAAAATTTATTAATAAATTATAAAAATTATAATAAAAAAGTTTTTCTTTATAAGTAATTTTATAATATTCTATTTTGATTAAAAGTAAATTCTAAAAAGTTTATTATAGATTAATCATGAAATTTTTAAAATAAATTTTTTTTTAAAAATTACAAATTTTTAGCTTTTAAGTAACATTACATTTTTATTATATAATTAAAAGATAAAACTTATTTTAATATATTACATATTTATATAATTAATTTAAAAATAAATTTTTTTAAAATATTAATTATTTATAAAAATAAATCAGAAGAGAATTTATAGTAAATAAGCAGGCAAATTTGCCTGCGAAACCTTACAATCTAAAGGATAAAAATATATGATTTAGCTATATATCACCAGAAAAAATTTCTAGTGTTAGTGCATTTTCACCAGAATGAAATACAGTAATTATTTTTGAGAATATATGTCTAGTCCCAGAATATATACAAAATCAAATCAGCTAAATTTTTTGGGAATAGACAACATTGAAATATTTCATGTGTATATTAGTGCAGAAATATCATAAAATTAATACATTCATGTGTGAAAATGCCTCTTACTTAGTAATTTTTAACTCTGGTAACTCATATAAAGATATTTTCAAGATCATTAGGCATTATACTGATGATGTAAAAAATGCATCTATGGTCATTAATAGCTATCTTTGAAAAGATAAGTTTGTTATATTTGATCTCACTAAACTAGAAGATGATTCTCTTGCAATTTGCCTAAGGTTTGACACTTCACTAATCTTGCAAAAAGAAATAAAGGTGAGGCAAAAGCACAAGGAAAAAAGCGCTTCAGCTAATAAGTAGAATTTAACTTCATAAATACTAACTTTTTTTCATAATTATAAAAAAATTGGAATGGAGAACCAGTTATTTATATCGATCCTCAGAAAGCGTAAGAGCTAAAACAAATCATAGTAAAACAAACACTTACAATTAATATCGATTCTCAAAAGCTCATAATTTAGACTGACATCTTATTTTGCAAAAACTATATTATCATCCTGAGGGTCTTTATCAAAATACTAAAGGATTATGAGACGTTTGTAAAAAGCTGGATATAGCTTAGTACTCTGAATGATATGAATTGATTCAGATTAATTTGACTTGATCTGACCTTTAAGTTGATCAGTATTATGAATTTTGATGACCTGTGATCTACATGACCCGATCTGGCAGGTCAGATCATTCATCTTCTTGACCCAAGTTTTGATCTAAATCAACCCGATAATTATTAGTTTATTTTGATTATCTAAATCTTTTTTTTTATTAAGACTAAATTACTAAGCCACCTTTTTATCTATTACTAATAATCTTATTATAATGTCTATTGACCTAATTGAATTAACAACTCCACCAACTTAACATCTTGGAAAAAGAAAGGCTTTGCGTAGTAAGCTTTTTACTAAAGATCTTTTTGAGAAAAGAAATCTTTCATAAGATTATAAAAATGCAAAAACTTATCGTGAAGTTCAATGTCTTAATTATCTGTAAGTAAAAATTTATCATAACATGTTGAAATATCTGCCAAGTATTGATTAAACACTCTTAAAATTTTAGGAAAAAGAAAATCTGGTTTCATAAAATGGATTCTAATACAACTAATCTTTGGCATCATGTAGAAGTTTATCATTTAGAAAAAGATCTAAAGCCCAATAAAAAGCAAAAAAATCAGTGGCAGAAGATCAAAATACATTAGATAAATTTGTAGGTCAGACAGAAATTCCTTCTAAAGCAAGTATAATTGAATAATTAGAATTTTATATAAGTTATAAAATTAAAAAAGAATTTAGATTTCTTGGTTATTATTTTTTATTTACTTTATTCTTATTCTCAAGTTTACACAAACAGACTTTCATAAGTTTCTTATTAGACTTATAAATTATCAAAAACATGTAAGTAGGTAGCATTATCTCATAATACTCATAACTAGATAACATTAAAGCACAACTGAATAACACTCTTATAAGTAGGGTTGGAAATTTTGTATGTACTAGATAAAATTAACACTGTACTTGTACTGTACTTGTACTAATTTTTATATTAATTATTATGTGTACTAACTATACTAACTGTACTAATCATTGTACTAACACTGTACTTTCCAACCCTGCTTATAAGAGTATTATCCAGTAAATTTTTTATCAAAATTAAGATATTAATTTTAATCAAAATTTTCTCAGAATCTGATTTTTTTAGATCATTATCCATATTTTAAGCTATTAAATAATATATATATATATATATAATTTGTTAATTGTTAAAAATAATACTTTTTAATTCCTGAAATGATTGGCAAATTGGATCTTTACTTATCATTTATCTATTTTTCTCAAAAAAAAAATAATTTTGCTAAATATAATAAAAAAATATATAATATGTATAATATGTAAATTGCCGACTTAACTTATCTTGACAATGTTGTAGAATATTTTGATAAAATGTAATAAAGGAGAAATTGTTGATGCTATTTAATATAATTAATAGAATAATTTAATAATGATTTATAGACGTAAAACTCACGTAAAATTAATTATAATATATCTTACGTAAATTAAACAATTTGCCTATGATTTCCATGACGATATTTCTTGATCATATATTGCTACAAATATTACTTTAAAATTTTATCATCAAATATATAATAATGTATTATTTGATCCATTTTGACGCATTCTTATTATTACAAATAATTTATTATATTTTAAATAAATAAAATGAACATCACCCGTAATAATATTTATATCAAATGTTTATAAAATTTTTGTTTATTAAAATGGTTGAATAATTTTTGGCGTATAATAACTTTAATTATATTATAATTAAAAAAAAAATACTTGGTTTTTTTTGTAAGTTTTTCTTTTCCTGTAATTGAATGAATTCCAATAACTTTATTTGCCTCATGATGATTTCTATAACGTTTACTTATAATGTTTGTTAAAATGATAATAATAAGTTGAAAATATATAAAACAATCAAAAATTAAAAATCAAAAAAAAAAAAAAAAAAATTTCTATCAAGAAATAAGATAAGAAAAACAACTTCGGAAATTTTTTACATTTTTAAATAAATAATAAGGATAAAAAAATTATTTAATTGAATTCATTTTTCTCGAGGTGAATTTTAATTTATCAGAAGTTCTCTCGAGATCTCCATCCAATTCAGTTAACAGTTGATTTTGATAGTCTAATTCTTGACCTATAGCTAAACCAATATGTTTATGTCTACTTAATATAGCGCTAAACTGTTCAACATGATGGTCTTGATCTTCCATAGTTTGTTTTTGTAAATTAACTAATCCATCATTATCTAATCCACGAGTTTGTTCTGTTTCTGTTGGCATGGTAGATCGATTATTACCAAAAACCCTTCTTGATGGCGTTACCGGTGATACTTTTGAAGGAATTCCATTATTGTTACCAACCATTACTCTATTAATAGGTTGTCGGAATAATGCTGATCGATCCACTGAACTTGCTGGTGTGGCCGCTTTACTAATATCAGTTCTTGTCGTCAATACAAGTTTTGTCAAAGTATCTTTTTCTTCTTTAATTTCTGTCAACATATCTTGTCGTCTCCTCAATTCTCCTTCTGACATAACTTTCCCATCTTTCCCATTTCCTTCTGCAAGACCTCTAAGTCCTGAATCAAGTTGTGACACGCGCACTCCAAGATACGTCAAATTTTTCTTTGCCTGCAAATTAAAATTATGTGACAACTGTACTTCATTACGTGCAATGTGAGTTTCGCGTTTATTTAAAAGTGACCTGATTTCTTTAGCTTTGGCTTGAATATTATTATACTCGTCAAGCCAACTTTCTGAAGTATAATTTGAAGCAGGGTCAAGCGGTCGACCTGTTGGTATGGCTAAGAATTCTCTCCATTCATCGGTCTCTCTCCAACGATCATCTTTATGAAAAAGTATTCCCCTTAAATAATCTTCCAAGCCTCTACGCCTTTCCTCTACCAATACCGGGTTACCAAGGGTAGACTGAAAATAATGTTTGGCGGGCATTTCATATGGTGGTGGATTACTCGGGAAAAGTCTTATAAGTTTGTCATTTAATTCATCAAATTCACTATACCGTTTCCAAACCGACCAAGTTCTAACTGCTGCATTCACCTCTACCCTATAAACTGTATGTAGTTTTGGTGTATCTCTCGTTTCAATATTTCGAATGTATATATTTTGAATATTTTCAATCATGTTTATTCTTATTCAAGGGTGGGGAGTTTTTTTTTTTTTGTTGGGAATTCGATTGCTTTTATATGTGAAATTACGTAACTGTCGTCTGAACATCATGTGCATATCCGTTTTTGCAACATTATATGCCCCTGTAGATCCTTTGAGCAGGCAAGTCTTACCTAAATTGCAAAAATTTTACAAAAAACAAATGGATGATCTCATTTCGATCTGATTTTTAATCAATCTATTTAAATATAATTTTACTTTTAACTAAAAATGTCAAAAAAAATCACATATGGTAAAATAAATTTTAGTAAAGCTTAAACATATATGGGTATTCCATTGAATCATTTTTTTTTTTAAAAAAAAAAAAAAAACTAAAATAAAAAAAAAGAATAAATAAATTCAAGAAAGTTACAATTTGAATTGAATAGAAAAAGAATGAAAAACTAAAAAACTAAAAAAAATTACAACAAATCAAGAATTTGCAAATAAATATTTAAATTCAAAATAAATAAAGTAAATAAAAAACGTAATAAAAATATAATAAAATAAAAATATCCAAATTATTCTACAATCCAAATCTTCATTCGAAGTTTAAAGTTTTTGCGTTTTTAAATCCATGGAAGTGAAGAATTCACAACACCTGCTTCTATTAACAAAAAAGAAATAAGTTACACTAATGAACGTATCAATATAAAAATAATTATATACTTAGTATCTCAAGCACTAGCAATAATTGTAGCTTCTTTTAAACTTCTTCTTTTCTCGTCTTCTTTAACGAAGACCTCTGCAACTTCCGCCAATTCTTGATCGTGATTCACCTCTTCAATGGCAGCATCAATTGCCAGTTTTGTTTTTGCATGTTCTGCTGCATCAGCTTCTTGTCGAGTCGGTGGCAAACGTTCATTTTCAATATCTGACCGACGTGCTTCCTCAAATGAAGTGATTGCTTATGAGGGGAATAAATAATTATTAATTAAATGGAATATATGGTTACATAAATACATATACTTTCATAATTTGTTTATAAATACCTTTCTTGATACCTTCAGCTCCTAAAGCTAAAGTACCGTACGGTAATCTACCAGTACCGGTTACATTCTTTAGCTCCATAACGCGTTCTGATTCTTCTCTGTTTATTTAAAAATAAGGTTATAACATTTAAATTTCATAATCGTATGCAATTGATAAATATTGATTGAATAAAGTACCTAAGAACGGAAAATACTCTGGCCATCTTACCAACCGCCAAAATCTTATTTTTGATTACTTGGCGTCTTTCTGAACTTTCTGTCGTTGCTGTTGACGTTTCTGAATTAATAAATGTATATGCAAAAACAGGTTATATAAATAATTTATATGATAACATATAATGCGATATAACTATTAATTACAATAATTCAGTTAATCTCTCTTTAAATTTTCATGTATTTTACATTCATTAAAGAACCGCCACAATTATTTTGTTCAACAATATACCATTGCAGGATAACTACCTGGTGATTTAGGTTCCGATAAAAGTTCATCATCCGCTAGTTCTTCTTTACTACAGATATTTAAGATTACAAGCAGCATATCTGTAACTAAATGAGGCGAAAGAGGAAAATGTGGGTAAAAATATTTTCTATATATGTTATAAAGGAATATATTAACAATCCATACATACTCTTTTCACCGACGAAAGGAAGTGACCAAGTAAACACATCCATGAAATTGGGTAACCAGTAAGGGTGAGGAGTACAATTGAATTGACGAATGTTCATTACATTGTTTTCATACTTCAAAACGGCCGCTAAATAAATAAAATAATATAATATAATATATAAATTAAATATGATTTCAAAAATATAAAAAAAAAAAAATCATTTATTTAAACCAACCTTTGTTATTATATACATCCAAGTAATTAGGAGCAGAAAAGATGGTCATTACCGAAGGGAAGCCGGTTGTCTTTGTCTTTCGATACATTCGATACCTATTTATAAAATGATTTAAAAATTTAATTACACGGCTTTCATATTTAAATGATATAATATCAATTTTAAGTAATACTTGCCCAGCATCCTGAGCTTCATGTGCACGAATAATAGACAACAATCCATTTTTTTCTAAAAAGTTACAGGCCGCGTGATAACTATTAAAAATAAAGTTTAAGAAATTTGATAAATATGATAAATTTAATTCACCAAATATTAAGAAAGTAACATAAAATTACCTGAAAAAATACGAGCATCCTCGAACATGATTATGTACAAAGCATTCATTAGTCTTTTCTTGTCCAAATTCTTCTAAAGGATCAGCCCATAATAAATCACACATTAAACCATGCGTTGGGGGCTCTCTGAATCGATTAATCTAATAAAATAAAATGTTAGATAATGACAAGCTTCAAAAATACGCACACTACGTACATTACGCAAATCATCCAATGTATTCAATTCAGGTGACAAACCACCATGAATGCATAGGAATTGTTTATTCATTATGGCAGCAAGTGGGAGTGCACAGAAGGATTCCATGCAAGCGTCATAAACCTTTTCAGAATACTTATGCTTACCTGTTGAAAAAGAAATTAAAATCAATACATTCATTAATATTCATATATTACATCATTATGATAATAATGAAAAAACTTACACTCCAACTTAAATGTGAAATAGTCTGTAAGGTGACGACATTCGTGATTACCGCGTAATAAAAATAATGTCTTTGGGTACCATATTTTTAAAGCCCACAAATAAAGCACACACTATATGAAAGGAAAATTGAAAGTAATTAATCATAATTCATAAGGATAAAAAAAATGTATAGAAGAATAATAACGAGAGGGGACATGCCTCAATGGAAAAATAACCTCTATCAACATAATCACCAAGAAAGAGATACCGAGTTTCGGCAGGATTACCACCCACTTCGAATAATTTCATCAAATCATAATATTGACCATGAATATCACCACATACTTCAAATGTTATGGAGACGAATCAATATATTTTTCGGATTAAGTAACGAAGAAAATAAATAAAAGAATAATACCTGTTATGGGAGCATCCACTTCTAATAGATTTGATTCTTGTTTTAATATTTCAGTACCCTTATTAATAATGTATAAAGCGTGTTCTTCGGAAATCCTTCCCTCACGACAAAAATGGTCCTTTAGAAACCCGATATCGGGCTTTTCTGAATCTTCCTTTGAGAAGAAAAGCTCGGATGTAGGTATCTGTACAGCGGGTGCTTGGACGTCTGAGGATGCGAGCAAGGTTATTATATAAATATATGTTCAATGAGAAACAATGAAATTTCGTGTTGATGATGATTATTATTAAATAGGGTTTGCAATATCAAACGTGAGCACAGGCCACCTTAACAGTTATAATGCAAGGAAGGGTGTCCTGACTCTCACGTGTTTATCTTTCAAATGTTCGTTCTGACGAGTTTCTTGTTATTGATTGAACTCTTTTAAGCTTTTAGCAGTTCAATAAATGAATTAAGAAAACTATACACGAACCTTTGCAAAATCGATCCAGAGTTGATACCTTGCTACCATCATCCATTTCATGAACCGTAAAATCTATTTCGGGGACGGGCACTTTAGTCTCTGCTAACTTCCTAAGATAAGTATCAACATCCTTAGGAAGGGAAGTTTCGTTGTCTGCGTCCGACATGCTTTTTTCTTCTTTTCTTTTCTTTTTATTTTTTTTTTAAAAAAAAAAAGAATCAGAAATATATCCGTGGATGTTATGTAAGACGAATTGATTTAATCTTAATGCTAGTTATACCAGTTACATATCACCAAAAAATTCCTTAATAGGTAAATTAGAGTTCAGTAAAACACTATTTACATATTTAGGTTTATCAAAAATAACTAATAGTGTAAAAACTATAAAAACTTTATGTTAGTCTCGAAGTTTCTCAAGTACATATGGAGTCTTCGAGTGACGCCGTAGAAGCGGCCATTGCGCGAGTAGCCGAAATTTTGAGATCTCCGGACGATTTAGTAAAAACTAGTCTTTTACGTAAAAGATTGGCGATTGAAAAAGCAAACAACGATGCTCAACTTAAAAATGGAGTAAAAGCACAGTTAGATACTACGCAAGAAGGAATTGATATGTTGACTTCTTCCAAGCAAAAAATGGGTATGATTAAGGATAACATGCAAACCATAGATCGTTTATGCTCTGAAGCACAAGATATGATCCAACACTTTCCAAGGATCAATAAGGTGAATAGATAAAAATGAACTCGGTATTTTTCTTTTTTTTAATAAAAATTATTTAAAGCGTGATTTTTTCATAACAAGTAGCTTTATGATATTTGATTCAGATTTCTCAAATTCACCGTAATTTTATCGCGACTCAAGATACCGTTCAACGATTGCAAGAGATGCATTTGACAATTGATCAAATGCAAAATATGCTAGAGATCGAAAAGCAAAACATTCTTGGTCCGGCAAAAAATTTATTATTTATTCATTATCAACTTTTTCGTTTACAGGAATTCAGAGATATTACAATGTACCAAGCAAATATCTCGTCACAAGAAGATGACTTTCTCACACTGAAACAATATTTTAAAAGATTGGATGATGTATCAGAAGATTTTTTAAATTATCTTTGGACTTTGTCAAAGAATATTATGAATTTAGCTAGGAATGGGCAAGGGTTCGTGATTGTTCGAATCGTTAAGGTGATCGAATCAGAGGAACGAGCTGATGAAAAAGCTACGACAGCAGAACATGCTAGACATAGTCATCAGGATCTTGCAACAAAATTCAAGTCTATTCAAACAAGTCCTCGTGTAATTAGATCATTTCGTAGTCGATTTCAGGATAAACTTCATGATTCCATTTCAGAATCATTTGAAGAATTTTTTGATAAATACAAGGATATACCAACAGATTTATTGGATCAATTAGATTTCATATTTGATGATCTTGCGTTGGTATTTCAAGAGATTGTTCCACGCTTTCCCAAAAAGTATAATATTTTTTCGGTTTATGTGTTAGCATATCATCGTCATGTTTATAACATACTTGATAAGATTGTCAAGAATGATCCAGACGCAGGGACGATACTAAGACTGATTCGATGGATTCGATCTTATTATAAGAGAATGAAAAAAGAAATTCGTATTTCTGAGGATATACTTGAACCACCTTTGCTTGATGGACGAGAGCAAGATTTGATTAATGATTATCTTAAGTTAGTTCGTGAATTAATTGACAAGTGGATGTCAAATTTGATGAATGGTGAAACTAATGATTTCGTGGAAAGAAGTAAAGCACCAGAAGAGAATGGTGACCTATATTATCTTTCTGGGTCGGTATACATGTTTCAAATTGTTAATCAACAAATAGACGTTGCAGTAGAATCAGGTCAAGGAAAAATTTTAGCCGACGTTGTCAAAGAATGTTGTGAAGTTATGTTGGATACACAACAAACTTGGATGAACTTGTTAAAATCAGAATTGAAGAAACAAATTGATAAACCTGATGAAGTACCACCAGGATTTGTTGATTACGTTATTGCTTTGGCAAATGATCAAATTCGATGTGCAGATTTTACGGATGAAGTTTCGAATCGATTAGCACCCTTATTATCTGAAAAGTATAGAAATCAAATCAATAATGACCTTGAAGATACCATGAAAGGATTTCTATCAGTTGCAAGGGCAGCAAAAGATACATTATTGGATGTTGTATTTAATGATCTTAAGAAACCATTCAGTCAATTGTACACATCAGAATGGTATCAAGAAGATTTCATGTTGTTAATAATTGAAACCATTAAAGATTATACTTTTGATTTTTGTACCCATTTAAATGAATATTTGAAAGATAAAATTATGACCAATACATTAGATCGTTTCATTATAGCATATATTGAATCAATGTGTAATAAAGGTGCAAAATTTAAGAAACCGGAATGTATAAACCGTATGGCAAAAGATAAAGGGATCGCGTATGCATTTTTTCAACAACATATCCCACCACAAGAATTAAACAGTAGGTTTGACTCATTAACAAGAATTCATACTTTAATAGAAAGTCCACGTAAATCAATATATTTGGATTATTATAATCTTAAAAAAGCATACGGGGATGTACCAATTGGATTTATTGAAGATATTTTATCCAGAAGAGATGATTTGGATAGGTCTCACATTAAAGAGATAATGGTTAAAGCAAAAGCCAAAGATACAGGAGAATATACTGGAGTTCCTACGATTTTCAGTAAGCTTAGTCTTTAGATCAAACATTATGGGACTTTATTATAAAAATTTTGTTGTTTTAAAGTAATTGCAGTACGATAAGGTGCACTTATTGGAGGTTGTAATGGATCTAAGCTCTTTTTCTTTATACGAGAGATAGAAAAAAAAAAAAAATGATTTAAATTATTTTAGAATATTTTAATTATAATTTTAAACCAATTAATAAAATAAATATTATATACCTCAAGTGGATAAGTCATATCCGAATCGAATCCACTATTTTTAAATTAGTATTAAATGAAATTGACGAAATTTATTAAGATTTTTGTTTATTGGACAAAACATTAACATGATGTTGTTACCTGAGATCACCACACGCGATAAACGGAACTATCACACGATTTGGCCCCAAGAGGTTATTTTGTCTTCCTATAATATTAAATACAATTTTAAAAAAAACTGGTTAATAAATAATATGAAATGAAGCAACATACGACGCGTTTTAAATGAATACTAACCATAAGATAAATCGAGTAAAGGATTGATCATTGTTGGAACATAATCTTTTGGGGGCGTATAATTTTGACATACGATAAACGCTTCTGGAAGATTAATTCAATCATTCAAGTTAATTTTAATTTTTTTTTTTTTTTTTTGATAAAGCAAATGTGATAATAAAAATACAATACCTATACTTGAATTTCTTGAACTTCTAGGTTTACTACAAGTGACGGTTGGAAAGAAAATTTTAAGTTGAGAATATAATAAAGTGACATCTTTACCACGAAAAATTTTTGCTATAAAAGTTCCCCCTGGATGTAAGATATGTGTCGTAATATTTAATGCTGATAATAATAATTGGGCTTGAATATATTCATCCATATCATGAAGTCCAGTTACTATTTTGTACAATAGTAGTTGTACTGGTTAATAATTATATATGAATTTAATGTATTGAAACTGGAGGTTTCGTTGATAAGATACCGTCCGGTGCGCCATCGCATACTACGAGATCTGCTAATTCTCCCTCAAAATATGAAATAATTTGTTCTGCTGTTGATAATTTGGTGATATCGCCTTGAATTTGAATAACTCCTTCGAGAGGTGCCTCTCAACGAAGAATTATTTGATTTATCTAAGTAATGGCTGAAATAGAAAAGATTTGGATGTTTGTAATATTTACCATTGCTTGTAAGTCAACTGCGACAATCTTTGGAAGTGGTGACTCCTTAGAATTATTTTCACTATAAAAATCAGGTTTGTAATTAAAATAAATTCTATTCAATGATATGAAAACAATTTAATGTCAAACCCTACCTTAATTTTTTTGTTAAAACTTGAGACCAGCTACCGGGAGCAGCACATAAGTCAACTGCCCTTTGAACTCCTAAACAAAAGATTTTAAATACCCAAACTCAAAAATATAGCAAAAAAATAAAAAAAAAAAATTGATTCTTATCACCTTCAAATATATTAAATTCTTCATCAATTTGAAGTAATTTGAATGCGCTTCTGGCTCTCCAACCTTGTTCTTTAGCTAATCTATAATAAATATCCCGTTTATCTTTTGATGATTTTCCCATTATTTAAAAAAATTATTTTTGATCAGAGGTCGGAAAATTATCGGAAATTTTTTTTTAATTATAGTTACAGATCGTGTAACATTCGCAATCTGTTGATCATGCCTAAATTCGATTAAGGCTAAAATAAGCACTTTTCTATAAGAGAAAAAAATGTGCAGTCTTGTTTCAGCATATATACCCATGATAAACGATATTTTCCAGAAATAATGTAATATTAGCTCCAAGTTCTGCTTTATTATTAAAGAAAAAAAACATGCTGTTTAAGAGACTTCTTATTCTTTGAGATTCACCACGTGTATATTATCGCCGTAAACCACATTCTCGAAAATATTATATGCAGCATAATTGACAGACAGATGCAAATGTGAAAATTTAAACAATAATTAATGTACTGATATGCGCATTTACGAAACCATTATAAAAAAAACTGCAAAATCGATTGATCAAAGTGCTCTCAAACTCTGATATTTATTGAGGAGATGACACAGTGTATTTATCATCTTTACAGAGTATTCATTTTACCTACACAGATACTAACAAGGTTCGCAAAATAAGAATGATTCTTGGAGAAAAAAAAAATGTAATACAAAGAAAATGAAGTGTCATAATATATTCAGGACGTTGGATATTGTTTACTGGCATGAAAGCTCTGAGAGCTACTTCGTTAGATAAAATTGTAGCTTGGATTAAAAATAAAAAAAAATAAAATAAGAAAATTAGGTTCTCAGATAACTTGCTAAGCAAGAGGTTTAGGGCACGGCACGACAGAATAGAATTTTTATTTTATTCCCCCCCCCCCCAAACGACCACTATATTTCTCTTAATATTTTTTTGACATATAAATTTGTCCCTTATTTTTGCCCTCTTTATACTTTTTTCTTGGATTTCTTGGACGGAACTGAAAAGAGAGTAAAAAATAAATAAATAAAAGTTTGTCCACATCGGACTTTATCTTTACAATTCGTTAATCAATTCGAAATTCATTCATTCATTCATGCCTTCGTATTTTTGCAACAATAAAAATGTGGCATTATTAACTATTTAATTTGATAAATTTGATAGTTATTCGGCACGAAGTGCCTATATTGGGTAAATCAGAATCACAAATCAAATTTGATTCCCATACCTTATAGGTATCGGCAGTTATTCGACTCGAAGTGCCGGATAAGGTTATAATAACAGGATCAATAAGAGAGATATAAGTAAGTATTCTTCACATTAAAGATAGCAACGTAGCACCAAGACACCTAAAAAAGGTAGATGCTTAGAAATATAAATCATGCGATTCAAAGCAAAGTACCAACTATATACATACCTTCAAGTCGAGGTACATAACCAAAGTTTCCCAAGTCACGACATACATCGGTGCGTCTTCCCAAAATGATACATCTTAACATCATGTTGGAATTTCTTCAAACGCGAAAATTAAAATTTAAAAACTATTAGTTTTTTAAATAACTTTTTTTTTTTTGCCAATATATTATTAATTTAATAAAAATTAATATTTTATAAGGAGAAACTTTATTTATAAGTAACAAATAAATACATTTGGTAAAAGAAATAGTAAATAAATACAAATCAAATTTTATATAGGAAAAGATTTAAGATTTAAAATGAAGGATTTATTTGCCAAAGACTCTCCCACCTCTCCCACCAAATGTGAAATCAACCAAAATTGTTATTGAAGTTGTTAAGCGATCCATTTAAAATTGATATTGATATTGGGGCAGTGTATTATCTGAAAAGTGATTATGAGTGTGAATAACGTTTGGACTAATAGAAGTTGCACCTGAACTAGCAATATAGTTTTGATCTCGACTTAATTGTGGTGGATTAACCGAATAAGAGGAAGAATTCAAATAAGTATTTCCTTGTTGAAGTTGATGCATATCTAAATTGTTTGAACTTGCTAATGGAGAGGGTGTGGGGATTATGATAATTTTATAACCGGGAATTTCAACCGTTTGTATTTGGGAAGAGCTACCATTAGTCACGCTAGGCGAATTAATTGAATTAACTGAAGGGTTGGTATGACCGATAAATTGTGGAGTATAATAATGTTGATCGTCATTACTAGTTGGCATTGGCGCAGCTGTGTAAGGATTCTTATCTCTTATCGTGGAAAAACCTTCATCGGATGGGTTTACGCTATAAAAATCATCCGATAATATTTCTGACTGGGTTCCAAAATTTTCGTGACTTTCATAATGTTCTGTGGGATTTTGATACATTGTAAATTTTTTTTTTTTTAATTTTAAGGATTAATCGATTTGTGAATTAATACTTTTTTTTGGTTTATTTATATAAATTTTTTTTCATTTTTTTTTCTGTCGTCTTTTAGTCATGTCGAAAGTGTTTCTTAAAATAGAAATTAATGAAAGAAAGTTTGAAACAATGAAAAGTTGTCTCACATGAACACTGCTTTTCGGAAATATAATTTTTTTTTTAAATAAAAACAATTGACACGCACTATATATCATATCTACTTTATCACATCTTGTAATGTTTTCCAAAAAATTAGTTTACTAAGACTCAAGAATTTTATAACATCATTGATAAATTTCTTTTAAAGAAAGATTCATAATTCTAATCAATTGAAGTAAAAATCAAATAAAATATTCATTAGATGTTTTTTTTTTGAACGATAGTATTTAAATTATAAATTTTAAATTTAGTAATAATCTTTAAGTGTTAAATTTATTTAGGAATTAGATAAATAAAAAAACAATACTAAATGTAAATTCTCCTTTGTAAAGGTCCTGATACAATGAACTTACGCCCATGCTTGTCACCATACATTATTTATTATAATAAACTAAAAAAAAGGAAAAAAAAATCTTAAATCCAAACATTTCAATTAATTAATTCACAAAAAAATTAAGGACTTTCAATAACGAACCATTTCGAATATTTTTTTTCGTAAGGTAAACTGCCTACAGTGACGGTTTTTCGTGATGAGTGATAATCTTTAACGCAACTTTTCGTGATTGTTTCAATATATTTTAAAAGTTTGTAAATATTCCTATAAAATATCGAGTCCAATAGACCACATTTAGAAGCTACCATTTTTTTTCCGGTTCTTTCAGAAAATGTGAAATATTACACGAGATAAAAATCTATAAAGTAGTAATAACACAGGGAAAATTGTTTTGCCTTATAATAAAGTGATTTTTTTTTATTTATTTCGGTATTTATCGATTTACAGTACAGTATATATTTTTATAATAACAGTTTAATAAATATTTCTAAATAAAAAGTTAGACACAATAAAAACATCGATTTGTAAAATAAAAATTTGATCTATATTGAGTTCGGAGTTCGGTCGTCAGTAAAACTCAATGCGAAGCCCCTTATCATTTTTTTTAAAAAGAAAAAAAAAAATAGATCAACTTTGAATTATTATATCCTATGAAATTCATTTCCAAACGAGGAAACCGTAATAATGCAAGTTCATTTATTTTAACGATTCGACATCCAAACTTTAATATATAATTTTTTCTCATGAACAATTCATGCATTAAAAATTCTCTAAATTGTTATATCCGTAGCGGACCTTTTCTTTAACTTTTCTATTTTTGTAAAATGCATTTTATAACTTAGTTTATTAGAGTGTTTTTTGTCAGTCTGATTTCCCGTTGTCCTCTATTTTTTTTTTTTTTTACTAAAGCGATAAAATAAAATAAAAGTCCTTATGGCCGGGCCATTAATGAGTCATATTCCGTAAAATTATATTCTAAATATACGTAGTGCGGATGTTTGGTGGGTTACGCCACATTTATTTTATTTTTTTTTTTTAAAAATTGTCTTTTTTTTGTGGTATAACAAAAAAAAAAAAAGAAAGTCTTCGAACTTATTCTATATCCGATAGGTAGAAACCAAATTTATCGATTAATTTTAACGCGTTAAAAGTTTTAATTTAAAATGTATGCATTAATAATAATCTGAAACTCTTATCTAATGGTCTGTTTACAATTACAAAAACTTTGAGATAACGATTCATAAAAGAATTGTTCAATATGATTGTATTAATTACAGTATTAATCATCTAGATCCCGAGTTTCCAAAATACCCTTTTTGCCACAAACAATCAAAAAAAAAAAAATTAAAAGTTTCACAAATAAGCATGATTAGGTCTCTATCATATTAGTCATATTAGTGAAGAAATTTCCATAAATACCATGAACATTATTTATTAATATGCACTTAAATATTGAGATTGAGAAGAATGAACCCAAATAATATTAAGTGAAAGAATTTCACTGTAAAACACATTATTGATGCATTATTTATTAAATTCAAATGACAAAAATAACTAGTCTACCCTTTAATGTTCCGTATTTATCCAAATATATGAATTCATTCATAAGATTTCCCAAACAAGCCAGTTGTGCACTGGAATTTGTTCTCATGATGCATTATCTTATGCTAAACTGCTCAAAATATATTAATTTTCGCGACTTTTATAACCATGTCTCGACCACCAGAATTGAAGTATTCAAGTTACACCAGTGCTCATTTATCACACTGCATGAAGATCACGTCAATAGATCACATATTCATAGTTCTCAAAATTCAAAGAAAAATATACATGTAAATTGTATTCATAGCATAAAAATTAATTGGCAATAATATTTTTGATTTAGTACATAACGAATTCTTGTTCATGAATTTTATAGGCGATAAACTTTTTAAAAATCCTTAACAGATTAATATTATAACTGGTGTTTATTTTAATAACTAATCCATTAAATTTATGGGCACAACAAAATATAAAGCAGGCTAAACGAGAATTATAAGTTGAACGTTAACCTATGGAAAACAAATATATTCGTTGCTTGAGTATTTTTAATTCTCAAGTAAATTAGTTTAAGAATTTCCTTAATAATTTTTTAGAAATTTCCTCTTCAAGGAGAACCCTAATAAATAAAAATAAATTAATTAAAATTGAGGTGATTTCGCATAGAAGCATGATCAGAATACTCTTAACCGCTATCGAACCCAAATAAAAGAACCAAGTTTTCAAATATTTGAAAAATAATTTATAAAATAAAACCCTCATTGATTGCATTATCAAATGAGAATAAAGAATCTACACCTTTAATGTTTCGTATTTATGAAGCTCATTCATTATATAAAGTTCTAAAACAATCCAGTTATACGCTGGAACTTTAAACATTTTCTTAATCACGACCTACGTAATGGGATCACCATAAATAACCACCAATCAGTTTTTGCTACACAAATTTATTAGTTACACGATTAAACCATTTCTTCATTATTGAATTTTTTATCATTGCACACAATTCGTGCCTTCTTTTTTTTTTTCCTTTTTTACTATCTCATCAAAAATTTCTCTGAATTGTTATCCGCAGGCAAAACCGTGAATTGATATCTAGAAATTATTATAAAACGGGATGAAATGATATTAGAGATGAATGCAACGAAGGAGGAAGTTTGAGGCGGTTTAAAGCGTTGAGGAGCATGTTAAGTTTACACGATCAAAGACTAGACTTTATAGATAGATTGGTTTTCTGATTTTTACCCCAGTTAAGAATTTTACTCAAATAATAATATTATAATATTATATTCCTTTTTACATATTTTACAACTCCTTTATTCTCTTAAAAAAAAAATAATAAATAAAAAAATGTCTGCTGTACTATATATATATAATTGCTACCTTCGTTGTATAGAAACAAGAACTGATATACATATACATTTAAGCAGTTTTTACGATGAAAATAAATATTGCAACAAGCATGAGAATGAGAACTTGATAATAAATAATTTACTAAATTAAAATGATAGTTTAAAACAAGCATATTCTTTAAATTAATGCCAACGTGTAATTTTGAACCATGAATGGTTAAGACATTTGCCAGTACTTTGTAGTGATCTTATCATAAACCTAGAGTTCATGATGACTCGAGAGATCAACTAAATTTATCATATCTATGTTGGTTTAATATTATATATACAGTATAATTGAAGAAAATTTTAATATAAACAATATTTTTTAATGCTTAAATATTAAAAAGTTCGAAACATTATATTGAGACAATGAAAATATGACACAAACGGATAATACTCTTACGAATGTAAAAGGAATCGGGAGAATCGCAAATGAAGATGTTTTCTGCCTTCAATTGTAAAGGTTTAAATATTCGGGAAACTGTATCCTTCATATTGTTCACATACTTATTTATAACATATTTAGAGAAAGTGCAAGAATTAATTATTTATGTCCGATGTTATTATAAATTCGAATCTTTTTAAATTTAAAATACAAAATGTCACGGATTTTAACAAATATAAATTCTAGATTTTTATTATTAGAAAGAATTTTTTTAAAATTTTTTGTTCGTTTATAGATTGAGGCTGTTGACGGCGTATTTTTAATGTTCACGAAATGTATTTTGGCTAAGAATTTAAACAATTAATTTATTTATGATAACTAGGATATGCATGTAGGGTCGGATTGTGCGATCATCATCTGATCGATAAATTGATCAAATTTGATGTTGAATGAACGCAAAAATCTTTGATGTTGTACGCAGAAAGGAGGTGATGATTTGAAGATGTTATAGGATGTTTGTTTAGGGCAAATTATCGTATTTAGGAAGTTTATTTATCGGTTTTGATAGTGATCTATTACGAAATCGAGATTCAAGTTCGGGCATATTATAAAATACCAAAAGAAAAATATTATTATTCGGTAATGTTATTCATATGATTTTCTCAGCGCGGTATGTGATTTATTGTCCGGGAAAGAGAGGGTTGGATCTGGACGCATCGTGGAGCATTTAATATTATTCGATCAAGTCTTGATCAGTCATGAAGGCGGATATGTCAAGTTGGGAGATGTCAACATTCTCCCAGGTGGAACATCTACTGAGTGTCCAAACGTTATTGTTTATTATAACAAAAAATTCGATTGCTTTGTTCATAAATAAAATTCTATTAATCGGGATTTAAAATCCGTATAAGGATATTTTTTTTAAAAATAAAAAAAAATCTGTTTCTCTTTTCATTCGATCCACCAGACGATTTACTTGGCAAGATTAATAAGTCCACAAGATTTACATTTTCTTAGCTCTTCATTAGCGGCATATTTTTGAATAATAGGTTTAAGTTGTGTACCTAAATCTGTACAATGAAATGATTCTTCATAAACCATTTCTTTACATTGTGTACAATACCATCGAAGTCGATCTTCAATGAACAAAAATGGAAAGGAGAAAAGTCAAAGATTTTTTTTTTTTTAAAAAAAAAAAAGGTGGTCTCGTTAATTTACCAATTTCTTCCGGTCTTCGACGCCTTTCGATTACAATACCAACCGTATTAGCAAATCGAACGGGATTATGAGGTGTATTAGCTTTAATTAATCGATCAGAGAAAAATATTAGCTCAATTAATTTTTTTTTCCTTTAAAAAAAAAAAGTAGACAACCTTACCAGGCAATAAGAGCATTTCACCCTCCCCAATAGGGATGTCTTTAAATTCCCCGTTATCAACAACTTTTAAGCACATTTCTCCTTTATACTGATAAAACCATTCCTATTATATACATACATATATATAAATATGAATAGAAATGAAATTTTAAGAAACCTTTTTTTAAAAAAAAAAATCTCAACTTCTGTCTGGTTAATATGATAATCGGTTCGAGCATTAGGACCTCCAACGACCATAATAATAAAATCATCATTATGCTGTAATATAAAATTATTAACAGGGGGCTGTAATTTGTCACTATGTTCTTTCAGCCATTTTGGAAAATTTATTGGTGAAATTGACATTTTGTTTTATTGTCGGAGAAAGAAGAATTACTATTGATAAATAATTAGATCGACCAAAAAGCCATATTATATAACTGTGATGATCCCAAATAATTGGTTCCAATTAATTTATATTGATAGTTTAACAATATCTTATAAAAGAGTGTTAGATAAGCCATATATTTAGAATTTCTAATGACATCTACAACACATCAGAATTTTATCCGTGTGAATAAAGCTTGATTACATATTATATAATCACAAATCCAACAATGAGACGCCAGTAAAATTAATCAATTTAAAACTGGTTCATTCATCATACGGAAATTTGAAAAACAAATAATTATAAAATACCCTAATCACTACGGATTATATCCTCTTGAAAAAACAAATAAAAATAAAGAAATAAAACCAAACGCCCATCTTTTAATAATGTTACTTCTCAAAATTTCTTTAATGGACCGGTCGTCTTTGTAAGGTTGCTAATACAAAAGAATACAAATTAATGCCTAGTATTATGACGAAAAACTCGTAATTTTTTTTTGTTCTTCCAAAATTTAATTTCGAAAATAGGCCACCCACATCAGGGTTAGCCCAATGGCCAATGGATCCAATGGACCTTGGTTTATTGGATAAGTCCAATGGATCTATGAGAGACATTGGATCTATTGAGATATTTAATTTAATTGGCTAATTTATTATATATAAATGTAATTGATTTTAAAGCTTATAACTCATCAACCACGAATGCTTATATTTATTAACCTTGGAGCATATTTAATAAAAATTTGAAGTCAATTATTAATACCAATTTACTGATCCACATTAAATTTTTTACTACATGTAAATTTAATTTAAGCATAGAAAGTTTTTTCAGCAGGATAGCTACTACACTGGATTGATCAGTAAATCGATTTACAAGATCAAACTAAAAATTAAAACAAAAAAATCACAAACTAAAAACTTTTACTGAACTTTTTACTTTAAACACTCAAAATACTTCTCTTCAAACAACTTCTACTTCTCAACCAAACACTTTTGATATTGAAATCCCAAACAAATAAAAAAAATTATCTTTTTCTTTTACAAATAATTTGGAAAATATTATTGAAAATATATTTCTTACCCCTTCAGCTAACCAAACTAATAACTCAAACACACAAAATACCCCTCCTTAAATAACAAACGAAACTAAAGAAGACTCTGTTATAGAAATTGATAACCCTCAACCTCTTATTTTAATTAATCAAACTACAAATAATTTCATGTACATTATTAAACCAACCTTCTCTTCTGCTTCTTCACAAATATACAAACCCAAAACTTGAAAAGAAAAAAGAAAAAACTTAGGCTAATAACTTTGAACCTTATGAACAATACATTGCAAATGAAAATGATGATGTCAACAAAAAATCTTTTATAATTATCACCTTATCTATGCATTTTTATACATCCACTGATACTAAAATGATACTGGTTCCTCAATTGCAATGTTATATAATCAACAATATCTTCAGTCACTTTGATGAATACAGGAGGTTATATTGGCAAATCTTGTGAAATATAATTTCATGAATCCTGTAATATTATTAATTAGATAAAATATAAAAATGACACTCTTATATAACTTAAATGATTCCTCTATCCATCTCTGGTAGTTACCTAGACCTTTAGTTTCCTGTGCAAAAAGTCCCTTCAAAAGGATATACAGAATGTCATTTTTAAGTAAAAAGAAGCCTTAGTCAACAGTATGGATAGCAAGTCTAAGTAGTGTCTAAGCAGGTTGTTTTATTAACTTTAGTGTAAACAAGAGATCTATAGATATACATATTGAAGGCTAAATATGTAAGGGTTTTAGCCTTTCTCAACCCAATATTATCTGGTATATATTTAACTATAATAATTATATCAAAAATAAAAAAATGATATAGGAGGTTGTATTATAATACTAGACAAAGAAAATTCTATATTTACTTTCACTTTTTAGACTCTCTAACACAAGCAACTAATAAAGTAAAAAAACACAACACAACCCAATTTTTTTAGTAATTAATCCTAATGTTGAATAACTATGTAAAGATAATAAAAAGGCAAATGCATTAAAGTCAACGACATTTCTCATTTTGTTAATTCTGATATTGTACAAAAATTTTTGAAAAATATGAAAAGATTTGCAGATTTTAATAATTACTAGAGGTTCTTAGCAGATCACTTTATTGTATATGAATCACCTGACTCAATTCAACAATTTTATAATACTATTTAATCTATTCTATTACTAGAATTTTCTGTTAGAATTGAACCCACTAATCTTAACGAAATTCAAACTACTCTTTAATAATAATTTGAACTTAAACATATCAAACTCTTTTTTAATACTACTCAATTAGATTTATCTAACTTTCTTACCTAAATTAACGCAAAATCCTATTTTATCCCTAAAGACAAATAATACAAATTAAGACTTTATATATATATCAACTTTAAATAGTGATGACTATGATAATACCTTTAATTTACAATAAAAATTTAAAAATTGCATCTTATTTTGAATCATCTTAGGAATCCAACATTATAATGTTTGTGATTCATCTGATTATGATGCTCAATTATGTAATAATCATTCTTGCTCTAATCTTTTCAAGTGTAATTAATATAAACTAAAATTTTTATATAAAGACATCCTATCTTATGTAATCAAAAATTAAGCAATAGATCAATAAAACCTTCTTATTCAGATACTATTTAAAACAGAAAAGCTAAACAAATAAATTACCTATCTCCTACCAATCAAATTTCTTCTTTAATTATTGCATTAGCTTAGTGATACCTGACTAAACTTTTTTTTGAAAAATTGTAATTTTGTCAAAAGTTTTGTCTCTTTAATATTTTTATATGAATAAATATAAAATTATTATATTTTTTAATGTATTTTAATTCAAGAAATTTAGATCAAGTTAAATATAATTTCGGTAATTAAGTAAATAATTTTGTCATTAATAAAAAACTAGTTTCATCATTTCAGTTTTGTCAATTTCGTCATATTAAGAAAGGTAATTTTGTCAGATATCACTATATTAGCTATTAAATTGATGATGGAATAACTGACCTCTTGAAAAATAAATTCCAAAACAAATTTAAATATAAAATAAAAATATTCTTCATCAAGACAAAAAAAAATATTAGTACTTTCTCATTTAACTCAAAAATCTTAGTCTAATAAATAATTTAAAACTATTTAATCACCTTACCCTTCTACTCTTTTTTCTACTAATTCTATCTCTTCTCTTAACTACTCTTTTTCTTTTCTTTTCTCATATATGATCTTACCTTTTTAACTTCTTTAAACTCTTATTCATATAATTATAAATCTGATCACATTCAATTAGTTTCTTTCTTTTACAAAAATAAGCAGCTAAATTAAAAATTTAATTTCATAAGATCTTTTATTATGATTTTTTGATTTAGATTTTCAAACTATTTTTCAATTGACTTTAACTCTATTGGAATTTATTTAGCTGTGTAATTATTCAAGCAGTAAAAAATACTCTTTCAAAACATACCATTACTAATCAAAGATCAAACAACTTCCTCTACAATCACCATTCTTCTTATAAATCTCTCAACAATATTAACAAATTTTATTATTAATATTAAACCAAAACACACATTTCAATATAATAAATAAATACAGTAAATACATTAAAATTATTAATTTTTTAATAGATCAATATATTCCTATCTAAGATATCTAATCAGTATATAACAATAAGTTCTTTCTATTATTTTTAACATATTTTAAAGAAGCCATTATTATATATAGGTTAAAAATCAAACTTCTTAACAAAATAGAAGATAAATATCATATTATTTCATTTATATATCAAATAATAAATAACTTCACTAAAAATCTATCAGCTATGATTGACTCCTACTTTAAAAAAAGAAAAAGTTCAATTATACTAGATAGAGTTCTTATAAAAAATAATCAATAACAATCTTACTTGAAATCAAACCCTTCAAAATTTCTTACATATATTAGCAATAATAGTTAATTCAAAAAATTCAAAGAAAGAATCATATCTATTTTAAAATCTTTGGTAATAAAATTATGATAAATTGGAATATATTAATAAAACTTGCTATTTCTCTTTACTAGAACTTCCTGATTATAATAAATGGATTCAACTAATTAACTCTTTTATAAATGACAAAGCTTCTGATTAAAGATGGTACAGCAATTGATTTCAAATTTAAAAAATGTTGCAACATAAGCTAAAATTAGTTGCAACATATGTTGCAACATTATAAGTTGCAACATATATAGGTTAAAACTAATTGCAACGTAAGTTGCAACATTAAAAGTTGCAACATATTAATTACAGTTCCCATCTTTACTTCTGATCCTTCAGAAATCACTTATAAACTCATTAAATATTTTAATACTATTGCTTTTAAATTGCTTTTCAATATTTTTCATATTTATACTATATTACAAAATATACCTATAGGATAAAAACTTACTTACATTTATCTTATTTCTAAATCCAAGTCATGAATGATAATATGACCTTAATAATATAAGGCTAATTACTTTATTAGAAATTGCTCAAAAAATTTACATTAAAATTACTAATAAATTATTTGTTAAAAATTTGTATTAAAAATAATATTTATAAGGATTAAACTTTGCTGGTCTTTTCATAATTTAATTATAGATCTGTTACATATCATCAATAATATTGTTGAATCAGTTAGATCAGAAGATTATAGAAATAAATTATTAAAGGATCATGCTTCTACTCAAAACTAGTAATACCTGACGAAATTACCTTTCTTAATATGACGAAATTACCTTTCTTAATATGACGAAATTGACGAAACTGAAATGACAAAACTAGTTTTTTATTAATGACGAAATTATTTTACTTAATTGCCAAAATTATATTTAACTTGATCTAAATTCCTTGAATTAAAATATATTAAAAAATATAATAATTTTATATTTATTCATATAAAAATATTAAAGAGACAAAACTTTTGACAAAATTACAATTTTTCAAAAAAGAGTTTAATTAGGTATCACTACTCAAAACTTATTTATTCTCTTTTAAGATATATCTAAAACATATAGAAGCTTTGTAATAAAAAGGGAGGAATCTCTAAAAAAAATTTTTTTAAGTTAATGTTAAATCTGGACTTATTTTACAAAAAAATCATAATTAGCTTAAAAAGTAAAATTTTAATTTTTTTAGAGTTTCCTCCCTTTCTATTGCAAAGCTTCCATATGATTAGTATGATTAGATAAACATATACAGTATATATTACAAAAAGCTATATTATGTCTAAAAATTCCTGCAAGTTTTATTAATATTATCACCAATCTTTTTTTGAATAGAAAAAATAGAGACTATACACATCATGGCTTATCATTAGAATATGATATATTAATTGCTATAGATTAAGGTAAAATTATTTCCTTGTTCTTATAGGTCATATATTATAATCCATTACTATACAAAATTCAATAATCAAATTTATAATATATCGCAAATACTGTATTCTGATTTTAATGCTTTTACTCATCAAATCGACTATGTTAACATTATAGTTATATCATATAAAGATGATATTACTTAAATTTCTAATAACATTTCAAATTTAGAACAGATGATTAATATAACTAATACTTTT